TTGCAGCAGTTAATTTGGCCCTGATGAGCATCCCTCACTTTCCTGCTAATTCTTTGTGCCACTCAGCAGGTTTAAGGTGGAAAGGGTTTGGAATAATCCCAGCTTCAGGTGAAGAGGGACACTGAGAACCTTAGCTTGAAGGTCCACTTGTTATCCCTGAACGTCTTGAGCCTCCAAAGCCTGTGAGAAGTGGTTTCTTCATGAAAGTGTTTCTCAGTTATATAAGGGGGAAATCCTTCTTTCCCTTCCTTCCCCTCAAAAGTAAGAATTATTTAGGTTGGAAAAGCCCTCTGGGATCATCCCTGTGCATTCCTCCTTTTCTGGTGCAAAGCCCTCACCATGTGTCATCATATCAGCTTGGCTGGCAGGCTGAGGGTATTTAGGGATTTTCAAAGGGGATCCTCGTCCCTTTGGGGTTTCGATGTCACTTGGCCATCCAAAGAGACCAAAGACATCAAAGGCAAGTGGTGGCTTCTGGAGTTGGTGGCTGGGGACACCCAGACCTTTCAGTGGAGAGTCTCCAGCACGAGCTGCACCCTGCCTGGTGTGCTGGCAAGCTCCCAGTCCTCTGCAAGGTAAATTATTAGCTCAAATCCCTTTCCCTTCCGGTGAATCAGCAGCTTTTGGGGCACCTCCAACCTCCCTGACTTTGGATCAGGAGTCTGGACCCAGCCTGGCAAGGCCTGTGCAGGTAAAGGTCAAGGAAGAAGGCAGGAGAAGCTAATCCTTCAGGCAGATTTGGACTTGACTCTTGGAGGGAGTGTGTGTGTGTGTGTGTGTGGGGATAATTTCCCAATTTGTTTCTGGGAAATCAATTGTTTGTGTTCAGGTTTAGGGAAGAAATTAATGGTTTATCCCTCCCAAGCCTTTTGAAATTCCTTTCTCGCAGCGGGATCTTAAACTCTTGGCTATTCTCTCTGCTTGCAGCCACAATTTCTGTGTTTGTGGGATTTTGTTTGCAGAAGTAGAAGGGAGAAAGGGGTTCTTTGGGGTTTTCTTCTGGGGTTTCCTCCCCCAGTAAGCCCCTCCTGCCTTATCCCCCTCTGGAATGACAGCAGGATCCCCAAACACTCCTTCATTTCCAGCTGTTTTCCATGTTCTTTTCCAGAGCATTGATGTGCTGGGTGACCTCTGCAGAAACAATCCTGCAGAGCAAGTGCAGTTAATGGGCCCAGGTGGGTTTGTTCCCAGTTTTATGGGACATGGTGCCTGTGTTAGCCTGGGAAACTTTTCTGCTCTTCACTTTAATGTTTTATTTATTTAATGTTTTGGGTTGTCCAAACTTCTGCTGGCCTTAATGGCACTTGATAAGGGGGTGCCAGGAATTCTTTCTGGAGCTCTGGATCTGAGCTTGTGTTGTCCCATGTCTTGCTGAGGTTGGGTGAGGGTGTTGATCATTCCAACAGGAACGATTTCCATGGGCATATTCCTGTGTTAGGCTGCAGTATTTGTCTGCCTTAGTGCAGGAGAATGAGCTTAAATAACCTACTGAAAACAAATCTGAGATATGGAGTAGCACAGTGGGAAAAATAATGATGGTGCAGGCAGGGGAGGGGAAATAAAACCAGCCTGGATAAGAGCCTTGAGAGAAGAGAAAAATAGGGAAGCAAGTGGAGAGAAGTGTCAGGAGAGGGTGAGATGGAAGCAGATTGGGAAGTTTTTGTGACCAGGGGGTAAAGGAAAAAGCTATTTGGTGGACACTGTGAGGATGAGCAGAAGAAAACGGGCACATTTCTGTGGCTGGTGGAGAGGTGAGGCCAGAAAAGCAAACAGAGATGGTGGAATATCCCAAGATGCCCATCAGTTCTGCATCTTCCACCCTTGGCCTTCCCCAGCCCCCCCAAACATGGATTGCTCCGGGACACCTGTGATCTCCAGGGACCTTTGGGAGTCTGGGTCACCACGTCAAAGCAGTGTCCGTGGGGTTTGGAGTCCAAACACGGGATGTGCAGATGGCCCAGGGAGCTCCCAAGGCTCTGAGCCCCTTCCCAGGGAACAGACACTCCCTTGCTGAGGCACCATCTGACACCTCCCCCCTCCAGATGACTCTGCAGCAAAGGTGACCTGGAAAACTGTTAATACATTCAGAGGGAAAGCTCCCAAACCTGAAAATCCCAGCGAGTCCAGAGGAGGCCACGGAGCTGCTCCAAGGGCTGGAGCCCCTCTGCTCTGGAGCCAGGCTGGGAGAGCTGGGAATGTCCAGCCTGGAGAAGAGAAGGATCCAGGGAGACCTTGGAGCCCCTTCCAGGGCCTAAATGGGCTCCAGGAGAGCTGGAGAGGGACTTGGGACAAGGGATGGAGGGACAGGACACAGGGAATAGCTTCCCACTGCCAGAGAGCAGGGAGAGACGGGAGATTGGGAAGGAATTTTTGGTTGTGAGGGTGGGGAGGGGCTGGGCTGGAATTCCCAGGAAAGCTGTGGCTGCCCTTGGATCCCTGGAAGTGCCCAGGGCCTGGTTGGATCAACCTGGGATAGTGGGAGTTGTCCCTGCCCATGGCAGAGGTTGGAATTGAACGATCTTTAAGGTCCCTCCCAACCCAAATTCCTTGGTGGTTCTGTCACCTCAGCTGGGTTTGGGCTCGTGCTGTTTGACCAAGAACGTCCCTATTCGTTCCTCCCTCCCACAAAGTAACATCCCCTCTTGTTTTTCCGGGCCAGTTTTCCCGGTGGGATCTGGAATTGAGTCCTTTCCTGGGCAGGCACCTCAGCAGTGGGATGTTCTCCCCACTCCAGCCCCAACCTGTCCGGGCAGCTGGGTGAGGATGGAGAGCAGCACCTCTTCCCAGCTGGGCGTGGTGAGGAGAAGGGATGATGTGAATTGAACTGGGGGGTTTTGGGTAGGGTTTTTTTGGTGTTTAAATGGCAGCTTGTGATGGCCCAGATCCTGTTGTGACAGCGCCTCTGAAATCCTTAAGCCGCTTGAATCGCTCCGAGGAGCCAAGCAATAAAAGAGCCGGAATAAAATGTATCCCACAATGTCCTTCACTTCTGCTGACAAGTGCAGTTTAAATTACTGGTGCAACCTTTTAGCGTGGCTGGCTTGTAAAAACTAATAAAATATGAAATGAAGTTATAACAGCTTCTCTGATGGGGAGCAGGGAGAAGACACCTTTTTTTTTGAGGAGGGTGAGCCTGTGCTTGGATGCTGTCATTGCTGTTAGGGACAGTGGTCAGAATGAAATATTAAGTAAAATATTAATAAATAAAATAAATATTAAGTAAAATATGCTGGAATTTTTACATCAGATAAAAAAAACCAAACCTGGATTCCCTGGGAAATCTTCTCCACACTTTCTAGTGGAAGGTGTCCCTACCCACGACAGGGGGTTGGAACTGGGTGATCTTTAAGGTGTCTTCCATCCCAAACCATCCTGTGGTTCTCAGGAGAGTGGTTCCTTTGGCTGGTGCAAATCTGGACATCCCATTTCCAGACCCTCCGATTCCTTGGGTCCTTTGCCCCGAGTGGCTGGAGTTTCAGGGACTCAGAATAGCTGGTGGTTTCAAAAAAACCATGATTTAATTGCTGTAAATACTTGTTTTATAAACTGAAAGCATTCAGAGCTTGCAGTGAAACCTTTCCAGACCTCGAGGGTTGGTAGCAGATGCTGGGTGTGCGTGGCCTGGGGGGGGGTTTGGAGTGCATGTTCTGCAGGTAGGCCCTGTTGAAATGAAACCCACAGCTGGAATGAAATGCTCAGGGGCTGTTGAGTGACATTTTCATTCCTGGTTTCTGGAGAACTCTGGGAAGAGCTTTGCAGTCTGGGACAGAAGGGTCGTGGCTGGTGCTGTTCCCACAAACGCCCTGTTGTAGCCGAGTGTGGGTGGAAGTCGCGTCCCGCAGCCAGGAGAGCAGGGCCACCATCACCACGTGCTTCCTTGTTGATATCCTAGGGATATGGGCACCTGGGAAGCATTTTGCCAGCTGGAGTGAGAGGGATGGGAGCAGCACTTTACAGAAGCAGCACCAGCCCCAGGGATCGGCCCCGGCTCCGTGCCGGGAGCGGCGGCAGAGCCGGGATTGTGGGAGAGGCTGGGTATGGAACACATTAGTGAGAGTGGGGTGGGAACAGGGAGCTTGGGATGCTCCACTTGTGCCGCCTGCCAACACTGGGGCTGTCCAAGAGGCTGTGGAGAAGGATGCAGGCAGGGTTGGGATGGTCCTTTTTGTTCTGGAACAGAAGGAAGTGCCACTGACGGCCAAGGCAGCGCTGAAGGATCATCCCGGAGCCTTGGGCTTCTCTTAGCAAAAGGCATTTTATTTTCTTTTAATTTTTTTATGTGTTTGGCTGCTGAGATCAGGCAGTTGTTCGCAGCAGAGGGAGGATTTGAGCCAGGGGAAAAAGCTGGATGAAAAACTCCCTCTGAGTTATTGGGCTTGAGCTGGACCTGGTGGGTGGAGCTGGTGGTGTGTCATGGAACAGGTCAGATCTGGGGGCTTGCAGTGGGTCCTCTTTGACCTTGGCACTTACAGATGATGTAGTTAATAACTTTATTTAATCTTTTGTGGGAAATGATCCTGTGGATACAACCTGAGAGCTGCCAGTTGATTGCCAGGTGTTGTAGAGGAGGGGTTTTCTGTGAAGGGAGCTGAGAACACCTTTGAGCTGGCTCAGAGCATCTCTCTCATCCCTCTGAGATCTGAAACATCTCTTCTCCAAGTTGTTCCACCTCGGTCTGCGTCCTCACTCTTGTCCTCCAGCCTCTCACACTCAGATTGTCAAACCTCTGGGAGCTTCTTAAGGCCGACTGTGCCATGAATCATTTGAATCCCAGAATGGTTTGGGAGGGAAGGGACCTTAAAGCTCATCCTGTTCCATGGGCAGGGACACCTTCCACTGTCCCAGGTTGCTCAATCCCTCAGCTGTTTGGAGAGGCCTGGAAGGAATGTTTGTATCCACGTGCTGTTCCACAGCCCCTCCTGCTCGATGCCTCGAGGCCGTGCAAAAGATGTTTCTTAAGTACAATGTGGGTTTTGTCTGTGTTTTTTTATATTAAACAGGAGAAAAACCCTCGAGATCAAAGCTGGGAGAAAGAAGAGAAGTGGTGGAGGAGTCGATGTGTGACATGGAACAGGTCTGAGCTGAGGAGCTGAGGGACAACAGGTAAGGCACAGACGAGCCCTGCAGTGTCGGTCTGTCCCGTGCAAGCTGTTTGGTTGTGTTTTAACATGTTGCATTTTAACATGTTTTACCAGAATATCTCATCACCCTTCTGGCAACACTCTCCTCCTCCCACAGTCCCGTTACAGTAACGGGGAGATGAGGAAAGCTTGTAAAAACAGGGCAGGCCCACCCCTACAGTGTCACCCCCAGAGCACTCATCAAGCCCCTTACGTATTTTTTTGGCCCTCAACTCTCCTGTTTGATCATCTATTCTTTTGCTGAAAGTTTTAGCCAAATTCATTTGGCAGGACTTCAGGGGAAGAAGTGACATTTCCCAGTGATGTGATTTCAGCAGTTTTAAGTTCTGATCTTCGGGGTGGTGTGGAAATGTCACTGATGGTCTGAGCTCTCCAGCTCAGTGTCTTGGGATCCCAATCCCCGCTCACAGCTCGGGGGGTGGGGGGGGAGTTGAGCTCTGAATCTTTTCTTCTTCAGCATCATTCCTCATGCCCCAAAACTCATTGGAGTGGGGGTTGTTTCACCCTGCAAGGATTAGTCCAGCTCAGCTCTTGAGGGGGTGTGTGGCTGACTGGGAGCCAGGCTCGCTGCAGAGGCTGGAATTGCTGCCAGCAGCACATTTGTCCCTCTCCAGTTTTCTTCCCACTGCTGTAAGGGAGCCAGAGGATGAGATTCTGTGCCCTGTGCTGAGCTCCTTCAGGCAGGCTCAGGCTCTGGAGAGTTGTCAAAACTGCTGATGGGTTTGGGCTTGAGCAAAGGTGTCAAGAGCGAAGGGAAGTGGCTGGAGCTCAGAACCACTTCTGCCTTTTCCAGGGAATGGTGTTCCCTGGCAGAGGGACACCAGGACAGCCAGAGGAGGTGTAACATCCTACACAGAGCCTCTCTGCCAGCCCAGGTTTTGGGGTGGAAGCAGCTTCCACAGTGGATTCTTGCTGGGAGCCACAGTAGTTAATTCAAGTTGGGATTTGGCTGCCAGGTGGAATTCCTGCTCCTAGGAAAACCTGGATGAAGTGGAATGGGCTGCTGTAGCACAAGCAGAGCAGGTGCCCTCAAGGCCCCTTCTGCCTTGGACTCTGCTGATCTGTGAAGAAATGTCCAGTGCCACAGGACAGGTCAAGCCTGACTTGCTGTCAGGAGGTTTCTCCAGGAGCTCCTTGTCCTCGTTGTGCCGTGTCTGGAGCATCTGCTCCATCTGTTCTTGGGCTGAACCTCTTCCAGCAGGTTTAGCAACTGTGCTGCTGTTTCCCTCCAGGAAGTCCAGCCATGCAGGACATTGTGGGACTGTGACAAGCCACCAAGGCCCTCTTAATTTGCCTTTTCTATTAATTTTCTTTTCTGCCTCCCCACCCCCAGCCCCATATCTGTGCATGTAAGGAGTTGTTTTTTCCCCTGCCTTGTTCGAGTGGAAGAGTAAATCCTTCTTGATTTATTCCAGAGCAGCCCTCGAGCTCAGCTCCTGTGAGATCCTGCTGACTCGGAGTTCAAAAGATCTCACGGCTTTGAGGCCAGGCTGTGGTCTTCCATCTTCCCTCAAAGTTAAACTGAAAGAGAAAATTCCTTTTTGTTTTTTTCCTTAAAGAGAGAGAAAATCAGCCTGCTAGGCAAGGCAATCACACCTACCTGCAGCAGCAGAGGATGCCAACAATGCAGAATTCCAGGTTAAAATCCGGTTGTTTAGCAAGGCTTTATTTTTGAGGATTGAGAGCCTGTTGTTCAGTGAAGTGTTCCATGGAGATAAAGACTGCCTTTCAAAGCAGGGCTGGTTGCCTGGCTGGGATCCAGCCTGTGATCCTCCCTTCAAGCATGTTTTTTTGGGGGGGGTGTTTAAACCACAACATCACCGTGGTGGCTACAGATGGTAGCTCTGGTCCCTCATCTGCTCCAGATCTGCTGGTTTAAATTGGATATTGGGAAGAGATTCTTTGCTGTGAGGGTGGTGAGGCCCTGGCAGAGAGGTTGTGGACTCCCAGTCCCTGGAAGTGTCCAAGGTCAAGTTGGACAGGGCTGGGAGCAATCTGGGACAGTGGAAGGGGTGGAACTGGACGAGCTTTAAGGTCCCTTCCCACCCAAACCACTCTGTGGTTCAGTTAGAGGTGCAGTGACAATCTGGCATATTTATATGTGTTTTCCCAAACTTGCTTGTATGGAGTATAAACCTGTTTATCTGTATTTTTCTAAAAAGCTCCAGTGTTGGTGTGACATTCTGGGGAGAAAAATGATCTTTTTCACAGGTGATTTGGTGACAGCTCAGGTGGCCCTCACAGGTGTGCTGAAATTCCCAGGTGGAGTTTTTACCCAGCCTTTCTCATCAGAATTCCTCTAGAAACCCTTTCTTACAAAGTCTTAGGGCCCATGTTCCCACGAGCACCTTGGTGTTTGTGCTCCCCTTCTGGGAAAAAAACCCCACACCTGGGAAGCCACGCAGGAATTCTCTGTACAGTGAATCCACTCAGCTCAGGGGACAATAAAGGACAGGGAATAGCCTGATTGCTCTTCTCTCCCCACCTCTCCTGCTCTTCCTTCAGCACAGAAAACCCCCACACCCACCTTGTCTTCTGAGCCAGCCACGAAATAGGAAAATGTCGGGATTTTTTCCCCCAAATGTAATTTGAAATATGATGACTGGACCATCCATTCCTAAGCAGCTTCCAACTTAACAATAAAGAAACTTCACAGAGCGCTTGGCAGGAGCCTCTGTACATAATTTAGATCATAATCAGATGCATTAACACATCTTGTATGGATCTCAGGGGGGCCAAGGAGACGAGGTGTGCTGGGTAATTTCTTCCCAGATTTCTTCACCTGGTTGTTTATTGCTCCTGGGGCCCGAATGTCACCGGTTCGGTCCTGCTGCTCCACGTGCCTGCATTTAGAGCAGCCAGGCTCCAAATGGCTGAATTGCTGGGTTATCATCCATCCTTCCTTCTGGAGGTGCCAAAGGGAGGGTGGAGGAGGGCGTGGGGAGGGAGAGGAACAAGAGCACGGGTCCGATCCCACATTAGGGAAGGTGCCAGGAGTGTTCCCCCCTGAGGGCAATCCCTGCATGGGGGAGGCACTTCCCCTGCCCCCCTTCCCATCTGAGCTGGTCCACGTGAGCAGCTGGGCTTTTAATGAAGCTTCTGAAAGCTTTTTTGACTGTTCCCCCTGTAAGGAGAAACGGCTGCAGGTGGTTTGCATCCCTTCCTTGTTCTGCCAGGAATCCGCCCGTGCCGGAGACATCCTTGTGAAGCCTCTGCTTTGACAGGAAAATCTGTTGCTGCTTTGATAAGCGATGTGTTTTGGATGTCTGTGCGCTCTGCTGGGTTTGTGTTATCCCCACAAAAGGTGGCAGGTGAAGTTCCCTGTCATTTCAGTGTCTCCATTTATACGTGCTGGGGGTAATGACCCTCCCCCTGTGGTTCCTGGGGATTGATTATTGAGTGCTGGGAACTGGCGTGACACTGGGATTCCCAGTCCTTCCCCAGCCAGGGCTCTGCTCCCAGGTGGATGCGCAGCTCAGGATTGGGAACCTGGTCAGTGGGGCACGAGGGGACACTCCTGGGCCCAGGGTGTGGCACCCAGCAGTGACCCTGGCCCGCTGGCACTGACCCACAGGATCCTGGAGGGGGAATCACATCCCCAGGGCAGGGCAGGCAGGCGTGGTCAGAGTGTTGGGGAAGGTGAGAAAGAGCATGGAAGTGGCTGGATTACACCAGCTGGACCTGGGGTGGAGAACAGGCCTGGGGACTGTGGCAGCCCATCCCAAAACCACAGAACCCCTCTTTGCCCTTTTCCAGCGATAATGACACTGAAAACCAGCCCAGGCCAGAGGAGAAGCACAGATTCATTCTTCCTTTTCCTTTTCCTTTTCCTTTTCCTCTTCCTCTTCCTCTTCCTTTTCCTCTTCCTCTTCCTCTTCCTCCTCTTCTTCCCTCCTCCTCCTCCTTCTCCTTCTCCTTGTTCTTCTCCTACTTCTCCTTCTCCTCCTTCTCCTTCTCCTTCTCCTTCTCCTTCTCCTTCTCCTTCTCCTTCTCCTTCTCCTTCTCCTTCTCCTTCTCCTTCTCCTTCTCCTTCTCCTTCTCCTTCTCCTTCTCTTTCTTCTCCTTCTCCTTTTCCTTCTCCTCCTCCTCCTCCTCCTCTTCCTCCTCCTCCTTCTCCTTCTCCTTCTCCTTTTCCTTTTCCTCCTCCTCCTCCTCCTCCTTCTCCTTCTCCTCCTTCTCCTTCTCCTTTTTCTTTCCTTTTCTCTCTCTCTTTCTCTCTCTCCTCTTTCTCTCTTTCTCTTTTTCTTTCTTTCTTTTCTTTCTCTTTCTTTTCTTTTTCTTTTTTTGTCTTTCTCTCTCTCTTTCTTTCGTTCTCTCTCTCTTTTTCTTTCTTTCTCCCTTCCTTCCTCCCTCCCTCCCTCCCTCCCTCCCTCCCTCCCTTCTCTTCCTTTTCTTTCTTCCTTTTCTTTTTTTTTTTCTCCACTAATTTTTTACCAGCAACCCTTTTCCAGGTGATGATGCAAAACCATCCCAGATTAGCTGCGATCATAAAGCGAGACTTTCACCAGAGAACATAACGATGATGAACAAATGAGCATCCTTAAAAATCAGAGTTGATTGGGTCGTTGAATTTCCATTCCCTGTCTGTCCCAGCAGGTCCCTGTGTCTCACCCTGTCACCCCAGTGCCTCGTGCTGTCGAAATGTTGGCAGGGAGAGTCACCAGGGGCCTCTCCCACAAGCACCTGCCTTTCTTTCCCTGCCTTTTCCAGCTGAGTGCTGAGGAATGGCCTGACTTGCAGGAGAAAAGGTATAAAAGTGAGGCTCGTTGGGCTCTCCCGAGCAGATCCTTTCACCTCCATCTCACGATTCCAAACAAGCGGGAGATGGAGCGGCTGATCCCGGCTCTGAAGGGTTTGTGTGAGCAGGGCAGGCAGAATGCACAGGAGGGAGAAAATATCCCAGTCCCTTTGCTATTGACAGCCATTTCCCCAGCAATTTCCTTGCTCCCAGTGCCCCAGTTA